ACTCACTTATGTGGTCAATACATGATAATTTTAAACTTGTAAGGTTAATATGCAATTTTAGACAAAACAAATAGATATTTAAGGCCAGTCATTACACTATTACAGTAGATGAGTTATGATTTGTGAATTTTTTTCATTATGAGGCTGATGAAAAATAGTAACACTCAATAATTTTTAAAGTACTACATCATATATATATATATATATATATATACATACACACACACACACACACTATTCGATGTGTCCCTGCCGTGTCCATGTCTGTGTCCGTGTCCGTATCCGTGTCCTAATTTTTTTGGATTTGCCGTGTCCGTGTCGTGTCGTATCCGTGTCCATGCTTCTTAGGACACTAGTATTGCCTCTCTTCCTCAAATTGTCTAGCATCAAGATCTTACCCCAGACGGCAGTCCAAACAAAGAATGGCGCTCTAAGTAGAGCCTTAGAGCGCCATATAGTCTTCCATGGGAAAACAGGACCAGCGAAGTTGGAAAGGCATTGTGACATAGTTACTCTACAAGTTTGAAGTAAAGTTATTTTAACTGATATTAAGTTAAATTTATAAAGAATAAGAAGTTTTGAGTCCTTTCCAAATTATAATACGAAAGAACCTCAGTGAATCCGCAAGTTTAAGAGGATTTATTTCAGATAAAGTGTGTATAGTTTTGGTATTTAATGCATTTACTTTAGTATTTTTTCTTTTTTGTAACTTTATTTCTTCGTAGGGTATTAAAATTTTGAACAAGATGAGCAACCAAAAAAAAAAATCCGTGCAACCTATATAGTACGGTGTTTGTTGAGATGTAATGGGTTCCTCGAGATCTAGTTTTGAAGCAGGCTGAGATGTTAGTAGGTTGGGACCGTTGGGTCTGGCATGGGCTGACCCCTTGCCCCCCCGGCCCGCCCGATTCACACCCCCAACTAAAAGCACATCCTACCACCTTACCATCCATTCAACGTCATTTGAAATCCACTCATCTCCGGCACTCCCATATTTTCCGGCCACCACCCACTCTATGAACTTCCCCCCAACTAATGCAAACCTTCATAGCACTTCCCAGCAATGCCTGGTTTAAAATTTCTGTCTTTTTGATTCACAATCCCCCTCCTTCTACAAGGTTGAAAATTCTCTCTCAATCCAGTAAATGACATTGAAATTTATCTCCTAATCTCCTTCTTAGTCCCCCATGAAACTCATCAGAAGCTTTTCAAATCTCACTGCAATATATTTTGGAGCATATAGACATGAAATAAGTATGAAGACAGAATGTAATATCAAGGACATCAAGTATACCTCCCTTCTAATAAGTATTACATTTCCTACCCAGTACCCACCACCCTTTCACAAACCCTTCATCACCAAGCCATAGATAAATTCATCTTAAGAAGCAAGACAAAAGGCTGGCCTATAGTCAAGAAGAGTTCCACCAACTATCCAATATATTTGAGTGTCTTGTTCCCTCAACTCTCCAAGACTCCAATCAAGACTCATTGGTCCTGAAGTAGACTCAAACTCAAGACCGCTTTAAATCGTACCAGAATGCACCTCAAATAGCAAGTTGCTTCTTCTCAGCCCCATAGTAAAGAATTGTAAAGCAACATACAAGAGATGAGAAATCAAAAAAAAGAGCTCTCCACCATTCAGAAATTTCTCACCCACCACTCAAGCGAACAGCATGCTAAAAGCCTCCATAACATAATGACGAGCATACAGACAGGATTTCCTTGTCTGGGCCCTTGAGTCACTATTAAATCAGACTGGGGAGCCAATAACCGAGGTGAAGAACTTGGCTATAGAACATACGTCTATATTTCCTTCACTCGATCCCAAAACCCATCCTCTATAGTCTAAATCATATAATGTAAAAAAAAAAAAAAAAATCACAGTATCACGGGCCTTCTTTTGGTCATCTTGTTGAAAATCCCAGATGTTTTGTTTATAATTCGAGAATCCATGTAACCATTAGCTACCAAATATGCAACAATAATTTGATACCTCCTGCAAAAGCATTTTCAGAATTCAAAATCACTCGCTCCATCCTTCTCAACCTCAACACTAAAATCATAGTCAATGCTTCGTATGCATAACCCAAAAAACTACTAAACCTAAAGGCCGGAATCCATAACCCTTTCATTTGTTAGAACAATAATAAAGCATTCAACATATTCTAAAATTTACGGTTTCAAAGAACAAATGTATAAATGACATAATGTCATCCCTGAGTATGCTCCAACCTCATTCAACTCCGCCCCATCAAGCCAGTCTCATCATAGAAAGATGTTGCTTCTTTCAACCACAAAACTCTAAATTTCTACTTTCAGCTTGTCTCCTAGAAGAAGGCAACCCTCCCTAGCTCCCTCTTACTGACCTTTTTACTAACAAATTTCTCCTCGAATTAACCCCTCTTTTTTCTTTTTCTTTCTTTATTTTTTATTTTTTATTTTTTATTTTTTATTTTTTATTTTTTATTTTTATTTTTAAGATCCAACTAACACACTTAAATTTCCAAAGTCCTTAATTTCTTTAACTTAAATCCACCTAAAGTAGTTTAACTTTCCTATTGTTGAAGCTATCACCATAAAAATACCCCATCATTGCCATAAAACCTCCTCTTTTAACCATGCTCTAGATGTGGCCCATCAAACCTAGCTTTATAGTTGATTCAAGACTAAGGATTAGGACTATGTGTTGGCCAAGATATCCTTTCTGATTACAACTAAGGAACTCTAATTTCTTTGGACTCAAAGCACTAGGCTCTCATAACACATAAATATAAATATAGAGATCTCTCTACATATTATTAAGAGAGCATATAGAGTGATCATATATTTCAGAGAGCATATATCTTTTCACCATGTAGCATCTTGCATTAAATGGTGAGTTGTTATTCGGAGTATTAATCATCAACTTGGGGAATTCCAATCGTCATCAACACCAAATCATACAAAGAAACGACAACCAGACTTTATTAGTCATTGGAAATCAGAAGTTTATGGATAAGCAGATTGAGGAGAGATTATATCGATAGATCAGCAGCTGGAGAGATCCAGGGAGATCTTGGATAAGTCTAAGTTGGGAGGGACTAGGTGATTCTAGGGTGAATCCATTAACTTAGTTGTAAAATCTTTCTTATTGATCTGACCTGCACTAGGTATCGTAATTTTTTCTTCATACAGTTTTCCACGCAAATATCAAGTCTTCATGTGTCATTGCTTGAGTTTTATTCTCGCTCTATATTTAAATAATTGATATTGTTTCTTTATAAACTATAATTGTGATAATTTAAAATTAACTATTTTTAGTCAAAATTCGAAAATATATATTCATCCCCTCTAGAACTGTTCCGGGCTTAGCACACTCTGACGTATCAGAGCTTTGGGTAACGGTCCTCAGTTATCTTATTATTTCTATTATAATAGCTGCGCGCTAATCACATAGTATTCTGAAACAATTTACCACTTCATCCATCGAAATATACTCCTATGTGCAATATCCTCTTTGATTTCTTCGTCTTTGAAAAATCAAGCCTCAACCAATAATCTTCACTTCTTCATTTCTATTTCTAGTTTTGACATTTCTTCAGGGATTGGTTAGTCCTTTAGTGTCTAAGAAGGATGATTAGGGTCATATTCTGCTCCTTTTACAGTTCTCATGGATGAAAGTGCCACTACATATATCTAGTTTCAACCCACTTATCTTGAGACCTTTTGAAATGGTCAGGGGAATTCTCCTCTCTTTGGCAGTCATTCTACTATAACCATAATCACATCCATCATATTTCTCTATGGAAGTTAAGAAAATTCATGACAATTAACTTTCACCCGAGGAAGGCAAAGCTAGATGTGTGTATGTGTATATATTTACACACACACACACACACACATATATAGAGAGAGAGAGAGAGCTTATTAAGACGAATTTATCAAGAATAATGGTCTTGTTTGGTTTTTGAATAAGGAATTTAAGATTGTTGTCATTATAGTCTTGTTTGCATTGTACACAGATTTTTAGTGTACCAAGGATTATTCTTCATCTCCAAATAATGGAAAATGGTTCCCTTTTTTTGCCATTTGGGACAACTGTTTCCAGGAGGTAAGCCAATCTCAGCAGCCTCATCTCATGTTAGCTAATTCCTCAATAGTTTAGCAAAATAATACTATTAATCATAATAATGCACAAATCATTAATCATAATAATGGATAAGAAAAAGACTTATCAAAAAAAAAAAATAATGCACAAATCATTCATGGGTGCTGCCATATTCCTGAACTTATATCCATTATCTCGGACAAAATTTTTATCCATGATTATGCTCCAATTAAAGCAAGTAGAGTCCACATAAATTCCATACACTAAACAATTACCAAAAGATATAAATTAATTCAGAAACTTAGAAAACATCTCTAGTTTCTCTATAACCTAAATTTTGAACTAAACACCTCAATATAGTTTGCTGATCTTATTTTCTTTTTCTGACATGTCCCTTTCTGTCTAATTATTTTAACTACTTTTCCCAAATTGCAACTGTATATCCAACCCAAAATTTTACAGTCCTACACCAAACTATATATATATATATATATATATATATATTCGACAAAGAAACCAGACAAGTAAATCAAAATCATCATAATGTTTCCATTTAGGTGGGAGGTGACCAGTAAATCAAAATCAACATAATGTTTCCATTTAGGTGGGAGGTGGGCACCCCCACAACAACAAACAATTAAAAAATTAAATTAAATAATGGAAAGTCTAAATATGAAGGGAAAAAACAATCATAATCATACCAAAAATAAATAAATAAATCAAAAAAAACAAAACCCACAAAACCCAAAAAGAACACGTTAAAAAATTCAAGAACACAAACAAACACGAATACCCAATTCGTAGGAGAAACCAATGAGTACCCACAATTGAATATTACATATATATATACATTAAAAAAATAGAAAATTAAAAAAAAAAAAAAAATTAAAAAGAAGGAAAAAGAGGGCACCTGAAGCAGAGGTAACGGAGGAATGGAGGAGAGAGACACAAGTATTGACGAAGAGGGGGTCACGCGAGATCCAATTACGGATGACCCAGTTGGCCGATTGGAAGAAGCAAAAACCAGCAAGGACTGTGACGAGCTCTGTTCGCCTATTGAAAAGTATTTCGAAGAATACAGAGACGGACCACATGACCAGTGTGGCCATGAAGAATGCCCCAGCCTTGTTTTGATGATCTTGTTTTCCTCTCGCCATCTCTCTCTCTCTCTCTCTCTCTCTCTCTCTACACTTAAGGGTTTATGCTCTGTTCCATATTTTGATTCCTCGAGAAGAGAGAGCGTATATGACACGTTTGTTTGTTTTACAGCCTCATATGTGACGACTCATCTGTCGACGTTGCTTGTAGAGTTGTAGATAGGAAAATAAGAATCAGATTCATTCTCCTTTGTTTTTTAAAATGCGAAATGTAATATATATATATATATATATTCACAACAAAAATGTTATTGGTTACTGAATAGTGGTTAAATCTAGGTCACACAATTTTTTTTAATAAGTGTCGTTCTTACGGTTCGAACGTATTTTCACTATTACACTCCGCGCGTATTCTCATTCAAATTCTCACTATTTATATTGTCATTAATAATTTTGTCGCTCTCACGCTTAAGTTCTAAAATTCGTACTCGCTCCTATTCTAGTTTTATGTGATTTAGGATTAGATGTTAATGGGGAGTGAATAGTGTAAGGCTCAAGAGACACCATAACAACCCAATCATTTGGACATTTAATTCTTTTATTATTTGCATTAAACAATTATAGAAAAAATTCATAATCATTCGGACATTTAATTCTTTTATTATTTGCATTAAACACTTATAGAAAATATTCATAAAAATTGGTTGTAAAAGTTCCAAGATGTAAAGTAAAATTCCCATCACTAATTTATTCTTTTATATTTATAATTAGGACAGTAATACTATTCGTGCAAAATATAATTAGAAATTTAACGTGAAAAACAAGGAGCTATCCCATGGGTTGCTCCAGTGGAGCAGAGGTGTGAAGTAGCTTCTATACAAAGGAGGAGGTGCCATTTCAAAGACGCATTGAATATAGCACTCTTTCTAAATTGTTCCGGACTCTCCATATAAGAAATTTATCACCGTAGCTAAGCTATAATTTTTTGAGCACGGATTATTCATCTAGTCGTTGGAACTCTTTTCTTTTAGTCTTCGTCACATTAGTATAATCCTATAATCTTGATCTATTAGTGTTTCTTCACCTTCAAAAGTAGAAGATAGAAAGGTTCAAATTTTTTATAAAAGGCGGAGTAAATGTGTGTGAGTTTTAAATAATAAAAAATTATAATATATATACATTTATATAAATGATCTCTAACTCATCCATGAATAAGAAATTTGCTCATCCATAACAAGAAATTTATCCACACGAAGTTATAATAACGTAAAACATGATTAATACACGTATGTATACATATTCACCATTTAAACTGGGAAATAATTAAGGGGACGAAATTAAAGAGATGCACAGTGAATCTATGTCCATACCCTTATTATAATGTCAAGCCATATTTGGATATCAAATTATATGAATACAAATATATATCTAGCTAAATAGTTCATACTTCATATATAATCCAAATAAATCTTACTACTTAGTGTGTGTATAATATATATATATATATATATAGAGGGACAAGTGCAAAAACATCCCCAAAGTATACTCCTTATAGTACTTTTACCTCTTATTTAAAAAGTGTGCAAAATACATCCCTAATATTTTCATATTATGCAAAAATACCCCATCTGACATAGATTAGTATTGTAATATCCGTTTTGCCCTTTTACTCTTCTGAAAATATCCAAGGAAGTATATATACTACTAATCTCATAGTATAGAGGTGTTATGTGCACATTACCTTATATATATATTTTTTTTTTTGAAACTTTTTTCTCTATATATATCTCTAAACATTTTTTTTTTTTTTTTTAAAAAAAACTTTGAGAATTTGTAGAACAAGGATTTGAATTTTTTGAAATTTCAGTTTACTCTTTTTTACTAAAATTTGTTTTTTTCCCCGTACCAACAGTGTTAAACAAACAAAAAAAAAAAATTCCCAAAATCAATGTGCACTGGTTTTCGGAGTTTGGAACTAATTTGTTTTCTTTAGTTTGCACTTTATTTTTATTTTTTATTTTTATTTTTTATTATTTTTATTTTTATCTTTACTTTTCTTTTATACTTTTATTTAATATTTTTATATTTACTTGTCTATTGCCAATGTCCTCCATTGTGTTATTTCCGGTCATTTTATAAAATTATTTATTTTTATATATTTTATAAAATGGTTCAATAAGGGTAAATTAGTCAACTCAGGGTTTAAATTTGTCAAAGGGACCTATTTGTATCAGATTAAAACTTTTAGGAGTGTTTTTTGCACGTGAGGAGCATCCTCTAATAGTGTCTTTTTTGGTCATTTTACAAAATCATTTATTTTTATATATTTTATAAAATGGTTCAGTAAGGTTAATTTAGTCAACTTAGGGTTAAATTTGTCGAAGGGAGCTATTTGCACCAAATTAAAACTTTAAGGGGCTTTTTTGCACACGAGGAGTATGATAGGCACAGTAAATATACTTTAAATGTGTTATATATATATTATGAAAGCCGACAGAAATGAAGCCCATTTAAGCATATATATATATATATATAAAAACTTTAAGAGGGTTTTTTGCACACTAGGAGTGTGATATGCATAATAAATATACTTTAAATGTGTTATATATATATTATGAAAGCCGACAGAAATGAAGCCCATTGCTTAAATGGGCTTCATTTCTGTCGGCTTTCATAATATATATATAACATATTTATGTTAAATTACTCATATCTAAATAAACGTGGCAATTTAGGGTGATATGATCGGGTAGGATGTAAATCGCATCACATGATGTCATGACTTCATGTGCACATGCATTAACTTTCCATTTCTTGTTATGGTCAAGTTGGAGAGAGGTTGTGTCAATTTAGGGTGATGTGAGTAGGATATGGATGTTGATGGAGATTGCAAATCCATCATGTTCCTGCAATCTGCTAATATAATGTCTTTGGAGATGGTGATTCAATCATAAGCTCTAGCCAAGGTTTAAAATTATGTTGGATTCCAAGAGTATATGGAAATCAGGTTGTTCATGAACTGAGCAGAAGTTTGGATACTAGGCCGTTCAAGTTTGGACTTTTGATTGTAATTGTTTATCAGTTATTTAATGATAATTTGGTGCTGTTAAGAAAAAGAAAAAAAAAAACTTGGAAGTTTTTTTTATAATGTATTTCATAATTATATAGACATTTCTATAGAGTTAATGTTGAAGTGGGGAGGATTTTAGAACACAGAAGACATTATAAATATGCTAAATATGTTAGATATTTCAATAGAGTATTCTAAAGAATTATCTTAATCACTTTCCATTCTAAGCAACCGTTAATCGAGTAGCGGAATGTCTATAAAAAGGTTGAGATGCTAACTGTGAGATGAAGATGGTTATTGTTACTAACCAAAAGTATGGATGGTGTTTGGATAAGGGTTGATTGAGTATGAGGCTTCTTCTGTTTTATTAAATTCTTTTGCATCACGGTGGTGAGGATGCAAGAATGAAATATGCAGTCAAAAAGAGTAATTTTTTTTGTTAGCATTCGTTTAAATTTATACTATTTTCTTGTACTCTGGTATGAGCCATATAACTATTAATTTTAAGTTTAATTTTCTTAAAATATAGTCGATTGCATATTTAAATAATTAAATAAGTCAGGCATAAAACTAATTAATGTAATCAACATTTGAGGATTAATCCAATTAAGGATCATATCATATGCATACATAGACTGGCCATCTTGTTCAAAATATGTTGTGTCTAATATATAATAGAAAAAGAGAGGAAAAAAATGCAAATAAATTATTCTGTATTTAAATGTGAAGATAATCACATATGACTTTACGGTTTTATTTTTCCTTTGAATCTGGTGTTGTAGTGAAAAATGGCACTTTCAAATCTGTATAGAAAGCATTGGTAGGCATTTATTAAAAATCATCGTTTGTTTCACATATGGTTATCGGTTCGATTTGTGTTCAGTTTTGTATTTTAGTGGTTTTGTGATCAAATCTTCAGAAAGAGTTGAATTCCTTGGGCTTGAGATCAATTACATTCCAATTACTTTGTGCGACGAATTAGATGTAATTTCTGATTTCTAGTGAAGATCTTAATAGAGGCTTGGGGTTTAAGGTTAACAGGAATTACAATGCAAGAAAGAAAGAGAGTACAACACCTCCACATGATATGCATACATAGACTGGCCATCTTGTTCAAAATATGTTGTGTCTAAAAAAAAAAAAAAAAAATTGCAAATCAATTACTCCGTATTCACTTGATTTCTAGCGAAGATCTTAATAGAGGTTTAACGTTACAATGGGAGACTTGTCCCACATCTGATCCAGATGTGAAGTGAAATGGATATAAATGGGAGGGTATGCAGTACTACCCAATAACTTAAACTTTTAGGTAAATGGGCAAGCGTCCACCTGTTACAGTTGGTATCAAAATCAGACACAATCCTTGATCTGGTACCACGCTAAGCGCTCGGCTCGAAAGACGACCAGGTGTGCCACCCTGGTAGGCAGAGTAACCCGACCGCAACGAGAGCGTTGCGAGTTTTAGTGGGAAAAAATGTTATAAGGGGAGCCTTGTCCCACATCTCTCCCCCATTAGATCCAAATGGGAAGTGAAATGGGTATAAATGGGTGGGTATACAGCATAACCCAATAACTTAAACTTTTGGGTAATGGACAAACACCCACCAGTTACATTTGGGGTGTGTTTAGGGTTTAACACGAATTACAATGCAAGAAAGAAAGAGAGTACAACACCTCCCTTTACAAAATCATTTAATGAAAGAGATGATTCTTATAAATTGGATACCTTGAAGCGGAAAACGCTTGAATCATGAGGATCCATTCCGATTGTGTTAAGAGCTCCACTAACGTATGTGTATTGAACTAATGTTGTGTTTGGTATGCAAGAATGGAATGGAATGCAAGTGGGAATGAAATAAAAGTGGGAATGGAATGGAATGAAATGGAATGTCCATTCTCATTCTATTGTTTGGTTGTAAATATGTAATATGTAGGAATGAAATGATAATAATCATTCTATTGTTTGATTTGACCAATTTAAAATTTAGAATAGAATAAATTTTAAATTGAGTTTTCCAAAATATCCCTCTTAGTAAAAAATAAATTAAATTAACAAAATGACATTCTTTTATGATGTTTAAAAAATAAATAGTGGCAGT